TGATGTTGAAGCTAAAAAATCTGATTGACTAAATTTTGCAGATCACCCTAACCCTAACTAATCAGATTTTTTAGCTTCAACATTAGCCAAACTTCAGCATCAGCCATCACATATATTTATAGTAATACAAAACTATTTTTATCTTAGTATCTAGTGATTAGATTTTTATATGATTTTAGATTTGTTAGAATCCTTTTAATAAGAGAATTCTAACAAGTTCAAAATTATAAAAATCTAATCACTAGATACTAAGATAGAAATAGATTTGTATTACTATATGATAATATAATAAAATATATTTATAGTAATATAGAATGTGGTGACTTAATGAAGTGGTCAAGTTGTCACACCCCCAGATAATATATTGGCTAGATAGGAGGTTCGAAACCCACTGATGACGAATTTCGAAAATTCTATCTGTTTATAACTACTGTCATCCATCGATCAGTCAATTAGAAGATCTTTGTAATCTTGGTAGCATCAATAAGATTAGAAGATTATAAAACATTTGTGTGATATATAAGTTATACAAAGAAAGTTTCAGATCGTATTAATCTAAAGAACTGAAAAAGATGATAGATGCTTGCTTGGTAAGATCCAAGTAGAGAAGTAGTACAGATCTTTAACAATACTACATAAAGAATCATTATCAAGAGAATTGGCAAAACTGAATGGGACCAAAATATTTGGCAAAGCACTCTACTAACCAGGCCGCCAGAGAACCAGAGGAAAAGGACCCAATTGTAGGAACCAGGAGCAGGTTACAGCTCTTCCGGGCTATCTGGATTGGTAGTTTGGAATTATTGAGATTAAAACTGATGATAGTCTGTAAAGTGTGTACTGGGGTCTAGATAAACTCTACAAGGGTAGAAATAGATAATAGTAGCAGCTTCGGCTTGCAAGTACTTGTCCTCGGACTCAACGTAAATTACCAAAGTCTAGGTTAGCCAGATTGTAGGTATGAAAAACTCTAGCAGGTTTATCCGAAAATAAAATTGTTCTAAAGTCATAATGAATATTAGTTTGAGGTTATATATATAGAAATATATATACAGTTGATGCGAAACTGATATTGTAAAAGTAACTTGTTAAACATAAATAAAAGTACTGACCAAAGGGTCACCTTAATATTAAAAAATATATATATTTATAGTAATACAAAACTATTTCTATCTTAATATCTAGTGATTAGATTTTTATAATTTTAGATTTGTTAGAATTCTTTTAATAAGAGAATTCTAATAAATCCAAAATTATAAAAATCTAATCACTAGATGCTAAGATAAAAATAGTTTTATATTACTATATAATAATATAATAAAATATATTTATAGTAATACAAACTATTTCTATCTTAGCATTTAGTAATTAGATTTTTATAATTTTGGATTTGTTAGAATCTTCTTAATGAGAGGATTATTTTGGTATTTAAATTATCTAAATTGGTCTAGTAGATCAAAAGTTATTTAATATTAAATATTATATATATTTTTAATTATATGTTTTAATAAATATGAAATCTGATTAGCTAGCAGATGAGGGTGGGGATAGGCTTGAATGATTTATTAGTAAACTCTAATCAGCTGATTTCTGAAAACCTCTTATAGTCAGTGTTGGCTTATGACCTTAAATGATCTATATGATCTTTATGATCTGTTATAGATCATTTGGTTATAATGAAGGTTGATATGACTTTATAACCTTTTAATATAGTAAGATTCATAATAAAAAAATTTTTTATTAATATTTGATATGACCGATATGACTTATGACCAAAAAGTTATATGATTATATGACCAAAGTCATATTGAAAAATGGTATGACCTATGTCATCGGCCAACACTGCTTATAGTAGTATATAATTTTATTTTATAAAAAAAAAATTTATGTTGCTTATAAGATAAAATATACCAATTTAGAAAAAATTTTTTAATCAAAAAATTATCTACATATTCTTGACAAACTTTTTAAATATTAATTTTAAAGCTATAGTTCTTAATACAAAATTATAACTTATATAAAAGATAACAATTTTTTTTTTATTATTATAACTTTTCAACTTACTTATAAAAATTTAAACTTGTATTAAGAACAAATTTTTTTCTAGCTTCAGAAACATATGAAATTTTAAAAAATCTTAAAAAATATTAATAATAAAAATTTTTAAACTAAAACTTTAAGATTTTATTACTCAAAAGTTTATTAATAACTTTAAAAAATTTTTATAATAAAGGTTATAAAATATGTTTTCAAGAACCTCATATAATTAATAAATTATTATTTTATTTAAAAAATACTAAATATAATTTAATTTTCTAGACAAATTTGCCTAGAATATGTTTAAGAGATACTAATCTCTCTAAAAGTACATAATCAATCAAGATTCAGTATTTAAGTTGTATTATACAAGCTTGCAGATCAAATATTAAAAGCTGCAATTTTATTGACTCTTTCTAAATACAAAATACATGTTTTAGACTAGTCTATACATATTGTATTTATAAAAATTTGACTGTATTAAATTATATAAATTTAAAATCTTGGCTTTTTATAATATAAAACTTTTAAATAAATCTAATTAATTAACTTTTTTTAATTTTATATATAAAAAATTCTATAAAACTTTATAAATTTTTTTTTAAAACCCACCAATTATTTTAAATATATAAAATTTTTTTAAGCATTTTCAATATTTGACTTGGTTAGGTTATAAAAACCAATAAGTAATTTTAAATTATTTTTCAAATAAATTTGTCTAATATTGCTTACAGTTTAAAAAATAAAAAAATCAACTTAAAAATAAAAATTATACATGATGCACTGTTACCGTGGTATATGCAATCTGAATAAGAATTTTTAATACTCTCATAATGATTTTGACTAGTGAATTTGACAAATTTTCATGTATAGAAACAATTACGTCTCTATTTTATAATTATATATAACCAAAATATGCAAATGACTATCTCAAGACTAATCATAATTAGAGCTTACTGATTTCTTATTCGAATAATATTCGAATAACTTAATCAGCAAATATTTATTCGAATATTCGCCAAATGACTAATATTATTCGAATAGTGCTATTTATTCGAATAATATATAGTTTTTGGAGCTAATAATATATGTCACTATATGTGAACCAACAAATGACTGAAGTTTCACATGATGAATAATAAAAATTATTCGAATAAATTATCTTATTCGAATAAAATTTGCCTATTCGAATTATTCATTAGATAATTCTTTATTCGAATATTCGCCGAATACGAATATTATTCGAATAACGAATATGAATACAAAGCTCTAATCTTAATACTTATACGAATCTATCAAACATGCGGCTTTAATCCCGCTGATAATTTTTTTTATACCAAAACAATGATTATATGTATGTTAGAATTGAATTTCTCTAAAAAAATTTTTTTAAATTACACTGTACATATAAGTGCAGATCATTGGACATTTCACTTGATCGATATCGAAGATCAAAGCATTTATGCCGTCACCTGTAGAAAACGGCAACTTTTACTAAACGTTATAATATCCCTTAATTAAAGTTATTAACAATGTCTTTTAAATATGTTATAGGTATAATATTTAATCTTTGAACATTACTGATTTTGTCATCAATCCATTATCTTCATTAAAAATTTTTTTCCATTACATAGAACATATGGAAGATAATTTGCATGAATGGTGTATTTTAGAGTATTGTCATATATCAACCTTCATTCCTACTTCAAATCTTTATTTCACAAATCTATCAAAAGCTGCTGAATCGACACTTTTAGATATTAAAACTCTTCAAGGAGCAAATTTCTTTACAGACCATATCATTGATTTGAATTTGAAAAAAGATAAAATTTGTCTTTTAGATCCATCTGCAAAAGACATTTTGAAACCTGAGGACGGAAATTATTTTGAGTATTTTTTATTTGGTGGAATTTTGGGCGATGATCCTCCGAGAGGTAATGATAGTTAATAATGAATTTAATTTCATTTAATCCAAAAGTGATTACAAAATTATTACTTATTAAGATAGGACATGTGAGTTGAGAAAGCACGGGTTTAAAACAAGGAGTCTGGGGGATTTGCAAATGACAACTGATACTGCCATAAATGTTACAAAAAGGGTTATAGAAGACAAAGGTTTGCTCATTTTTTGTTTACCTAAAGCAGGTTCACTTTCAACTATGTTTATCTTTTTTTATACTTTACAAGTCGCCATTGACCAGATTCCTTATATCGATTTTCCTGAGATAAAACTTAGTACAAAAGAATCAGTGGTAAATGCTTTTTTTAACTTATAAAAAAAAAAAAAATTATCTTCTCATCAAGAACTTTTTTACTTCTGTATTTCGCTAGGTCATGCCATTTCGATACATTGCTCTTTCACATCCTAATAAGTCAACTTTACAAACAACAACAGACGAACTAAAGCTAAACCTCGTACCATTATTACCCGAAGGAATGATTGAATTGTTAAAAAAAGATGGTGATATGGCGTTTGAATTTTAATAAAGTTTTAGCAAAGTTATTTATTTGCTCTTTTTATAAATAATTGATAATCGTTACAACACCTTAAAAGAAAAATAAAAAAAAAATAAAAAGGTTCCCAACGAAATATGTGTTTGAAAGGTGATCCTTTATCATATTAATCGCTTACATTTCATATAAAGCTATCGTATTATGTGCTTATACTTTTGTTTTATACTGCGTGGGTGTAAAATAATTTTACTCGTATATACTAATCTTTATTAAAGATTAATCAACAAGAAAAACGATATTAAAGTTACAGCATATTGTATATTTTCACATGATTCATACTAGCCATAAGTTATTCATAATGATGATAAACCAATATGAAAATGTTAAGCAGCATTAAAATTTATTTTTAACATCTGATTTTACTTTAGAAATGATTTTTCTCTACTGCTCCATGAAAAAATGTTGAATCCCAACATCGCAGAACGAAAAGATTGTAAAGGTGAAGAGAAAACCGATACTGAATTTTCATCAACTTGCTGCTCGACCATTTCAGTCTCCATAGAATCTTTTTCCATTTCATCGACGTCGGTAATAGACTCACAGCCATCGCTTTCATGTGATTTCATCTTCTCACTATCAAAATTTTGCTTCAACGTTTGAGTTTTTGACACTGGTGTCTTTTTATCTATATCGGATTTTCGATTCAAAATTTGCATCTTTGTCTGTGTAGGGTTTGTTGACAATTCCTTAACGTTAACAACTTGTTCTGCAGGCAGATCATCAGAAGTGATACTGGCGGATGACGTGTTTATTTCTAATTCTGTTTTTACATCATCAGAAAGAGGTGTATCGACCTAATTATCAAAAAAAAAAAAAAAGTGTAATGTTAACTAATTATTCGATATAACAAGTTTGAATCCAAATATTCTCTGCCTTAATAAAATATTAATATATATGTATTCTAATATCGATGCTGAATCAAAGCATCATAAATTTGATATACCTCCATAGATTCAGTATCATCTTCTTTTTCATCTGAATCATTTATCATATCGGTGTTATCATCCAAACTTCGTTGAATCGTATAGCATATATGTTGCGATCTATCTTCAAAATGATCACTTTTAGGTTCTGCATCCTGAACAACACTATTTATTACGAAGCTGTCGTTTGTAGAACCATTATATTTTAAGTGTGCATTCACAACTTTATGAACATTATCTTTTGCTGCAATATTATGCGAGGTCATGTCGACTTTTTCTTCCACGTTAATACTTGGTTGCTGCATGTCATGAGATTTGGTTGTTTGTAGGATGCATGGATTTTCTTTATTTTTATGCTTACTGACATTCACAACTTCTTGCTTAAAATTATCTGATAAGATGATTTCTTTCTTTTCATTCATACTTGCATCTTCAGATAAGCGGGACTTTTTAGAAGGTCGCCATTTTCCAAAAACCTTACCTCTTCTTGTTGTCCTGAACAAATTATTATCTATAGTAACGTATCCGATGGACTTTATAAATTTTGTTTTAAGGGCACGGCTATCAATAGGAACAGAAAGCGCATTATTATTACTATCATTGTAGTTGTTAATTGCATGCTTTTGAAGTTTATCTTTAAAGTGAGTTGTTTCAGGAATATCTTTCGAAGAATTTGAATTGAACATAGATTCTTTGGATGAATGGGTTTCGATAACCGCCGTTTTAGAATTCGAATCAACAGAAAAGGAGGAATTTGCGAGAGATTTTTTTGGCAAAGATTTCTTCTTGGCATATGCCGAAGTTCCTTTTTTACCTTTTTTTGATCTCGAACTTTGTGATAAGTTATTCATTGAATCTTTAATTCCTTTCTCATCATGGTAAATCTTTACACGCTTAACGTTTTTAATGGAAGTTATAGAATCTCGGTCACGTGCCTTCATGGTTAGTTCAATTTCTTTTGAAACTTTTCTTACGGAATAAACATAAAGAGCAATTATTTCATAAGAAGACAAATCAGATAACTGTTTTTTGAATAAATTGAAATTGAAAGAAATTGAGACATCCGGTAAAGGTTTAGGATCAAACGAGTCCCATGATTTAAGGGCTTGTTCCAAAAATTCTTGGGTTATGTCTAAACCCACGAGTTTAACCAAATATCTTGTCACAGAAGGAGTTTTAGAAAGAGAATTATCTTTAGACATAACTCTAATGAACGAAAATAGTTGTCTGTTTCCAGTAAATAATACGGAAATAATTTTAGCAGGCCAATAACGTATTTTATCGCAAGTTATTTTAACAGTTTGGGTAGAACTAGAGGTTTGGTCGTCAGAACTTTTGAATAAACCGTTCTTGGAAATAGTAGACCTGCACGGCACCCATACATGGTCACCGATGCCATAAAGTGCAGTAACTTTGTCTTTAGCTTTCGCCATATTAAGACAATGGCAAAATGACAAAAGTAGTTTCCGGCTATCTGGAAATCAAGAAAAATTTTCGAGTGGCTAGTTAATAAGGACAAACTGCTTATAGATGTCCCGTGATAAATTATCTGTCTAGGTGGAAAGTTTTCATGCAAGAAATATAAATGGAATTGATCTGTTAAATCTATAAGAAATGTTATCATTCTTCAAAATTTAATTGATGATTTAATTACTTTTTTTTTATATACAGTATATGTATATATCTATATACATATCCATTTATAAGAAGAAAAAAAAAAAAAATTTTTTTCAAGAATCGTAATTAAGTGCTAATTTTGAAGTGTTAGATCGGCGGAATTGTACATAGGTACGTAATACATATTTTGAATATTTACACGACTCACATAAAGATTATTTATGAAACAAATATTGATGCTAACTTCATTACATAAGTGTGGGTGATTTTTATTAGACGTACCGACCTTTCCTTAAAAAGGAAGCAAATTGGGAATACAAACTATAATTATTCCAATGTTACTACATATGTACTTTGTACTTTGGAAACTTATCACAGTTACAAACTATAGAACAAACAAGTCAAAGATATACGAAAAATAGTAGGTACGCATATATGTATTTACGTACGTATTGTGATTAAATACTTTACTTTACTATGAAGTCGGTTTGCACTAACATGTATTAAATTAATCCGTCTTTACTTTCTTTTTACAGTATTGGTTTTCATTTTTATTAGCATTAAATGAGCCAAAAAAAGAAATTTTTTTTCTTTTTAGTAAGTGATTGCATGAATTAAATACGAATCAAGAGAATGAAAACCAAGCATCTGTGGATAAGGAAAAAAATTTAGGCTCAAAACATTCAAATACATTTATATAATTAGCATGACACGGAAAAATATAAATGTTTCGCCAAAGTTTTGCCTATTAATAGAGCGTCAAAAAAATCTTTTTTCTTTTTTTAAACTAAAATAACTAAAATTGATTAATATTAAAGAAATATAAGAGATATGTGTTATACTTGTGATGATTTATTTAGAATTTGAAACTTTTATCATGTTTAGAATTTGGGTCGATTTTGGAGATTTGTAGTGCATGGTTTTTTGAATGAAGTCTACTTACTCATTACGTTTACGCATCGATAAAGTTATAAATGTTTGAGGTGAATTTGATGTTGTTTTCCTACTTTATTAAGAAGTTTACAAAACCGCTATTTAATGTTAGCATCTCGAGAGTTATATCATTAACCCGTTGGCACAAAAATATTATCCTTAAAAAAAAAAAAAAAAAACGACATAGGTGTGTATATCTTTTTAATATTTCTTGACGCGCACGCAGTAAACAAAGTAATTATAACTTTCGACTTACTATTAGTGTTAGTAATTTAATTTCGGCCGAATCCAGAATTTTGGAAGTTGAAAATTTGCTATATATCTGTCAAGACCTATAACCTTTTAAAAGTGATCGCTTTATACTTTCGCTATATTTCCTACTGACGATTAACTACATTATTTACGAGTGTTCTTGTTGCGATTTGGAACGATGATCGGTCCTTTATTTTGGAAATAACATTCACCGCGACAAATTAAGCTTCATCTGAAAAAAGAATATAGTATTCTTAGATGTTTGTTTAAGAGTTC